ACTTTGACTCGATCGAGTCAGAACGAATCAGTCCAAACGAGTTGACCGATCCGACGTGGCTCGCCATGTCGGATCGGTCAACTCGTTTTTTAGACCAAATAACGCTATGGACGAATATGGAACCGTTTAACAAGTTTAGGATTTAACGTGTTCAATTTTGTAAGTTTGGGAATTAATAGGCACTTCTACAAGTTTAGGAATTAATATTATTCCAAAATACAAGTTTAAGAATTTTGAGGGTTTTTTTCCTTTTATAAAAATGATGAATTACCCATTCATCTTTTTCAAAATTACAAAATAATTCTTATTATATATTAAAAATTAAGAAATTGCTGTTATATAGATTGCATATCAAAATTTGAGGGACAGTTTCAAATCTTTATATCCCAAATATTTGGGTAAATATTATGGTACCTTAAAAAAAAAATTTAACTAAAAAGTTTTGTGAATAAAATATTAAGGAAAGACCCCACTGACTGTAAAATAATGAAAATAATAATACAATTTCTTAGCTGTACAAAAAAATGTATATCAAAACCCATAATAATGACATCCAGCTCACAAAATTCTATTTTTTTTTTCTAATTTCCCAAACCTAAAAGAAAAAAAGAAAAAGAGTGGAAGACAACTCATTAGTTAGACACACCCAAAACGACAACGCAATACACGTCAAACGACACCAACTTGGCTTTGCTGTCTCAGCTCTTTCCTCAGCTTGTGTGAGAAGAGCCTACATGCGTCCATGCTGAGATCCACCGCCGCCGCCAACGCCACGTGCACCGCCGCGTCCTCCGTACAGGTCACGTGACCGACTCCGACTTCGACCTCCAGTCTGCTCCTCTCACCGACTCCACCCACCGTCGCCGACATCACGAACCCTTTGTTCTGCTGCTGAGGCGGCAGGAGGAACCCGAAATCCGACCCGGATCCTGACCCGGGTCTCGAACCGGGTCGTGACCCGGAGCTCGAACCCGACCCCAAGTCCCAGCTCTCGTTCGGGCTCGTGGACGGGGTAGAGGCCAAGCTCCCACCACTGTTGGTTAAGTCGATGAAGAATTTACCGCCTTTTTTCATGGTGATGGACGAGGAGGATGAGACGGCGGTGGAGACGCCGTCGTGGAAGAGCTCGAGGCGGTAACCGAGGTTGTCGGAGAAGCCTGGTTCGCGCCACGCCTCGAGACGGCACCAGGGTTTCCAGGTGAAGCCGTCGGGTCGGAGGATGAGCCACGACCCGGGACTCGACCGAGTCACGCGGTTCGACCCGGGGGATGGGACGAAGGGTGTGACCATCGATGCCATTGCGACCGGTGAACCGGAGAGGTCGTGGATCGTTATCGACCAACCTTTTCTCTCTTTGGATTGTTGTTCCTTCTCTGTTTTCAGGGATGATAAACAGCTCCTTGATGCGCTTAGCTCCGACATTGATGAACTGCAGATTTTGCAGAGTAACCCAATTGTTAGAGTCCATCAAAATTTGGCGTATCCATTGTAAAACCCAAATACGCGAAAGATCAAGAATGATGGAGATAAACCCTGGAAATGCCCAATCATGCATAATCAACAACAAACCCTAATCCTAAACCCATATTCGAAGTGAAGCATATTATATCTTGAAAGCTCCATTTGGGGTCTGGAAGCTAGTTTCGGCTTCAAATTCCAAAAGCTAATTAAAATATAATCTAAAGCAAATTTCGGAATACCCATAACTGGAAAATCAAATCAGAAGATACCCATTTGAGCAAAATCAGTAACAAAACACTAATCCTAAAACCCAAATTCTTAACAAAGCGTGTGTCTCAGAAGCTAGGTTTTTTAGATACGGACCTCGACATCAGATTCCGATCGCCGGAATTTCTGAATCCGAACTTGCACGAGAACACGGCCTGTTTGGTGTTTCCTTGGACCTGGAAAACCTGGGGACTGCACTCAGGCTCGCCGTCAAACTGGAACACGAATCTCGGATCAGGTTCAACCCGAACTCTGACATGGAGCTCCGGATCCGACCCGGGTTTGTTCTTCTTCTTCATCATCCCCGCTTTCTTAGAACCCAACGCAACCCATCCGCTGTGAGCCAAACACGCCCTCGTCTCCGCCGTCTTCAGATCAAGTGAAACCTCGAACCGGCCCAGAAACTTCTCACCACCGTCGGCGAGTCCGCACGACGCGCCACCATCGCCGCCCTCGCGGGAAAAAGCCTCAACGGAGAGAACACTCCACTTAGGCTTCTTAAGATAAGTCTCGATCTGGGTCTTGCATAGGCTGAAGCAAGCGGCGATTGAGGACGTGTTTCCAGCGGTCCGGGCGTCGGATTCCGGCCGGCTCAAAATGGGTACGGTGACGATCTGGCGAGGGAAGTTCTTAAACCTGATTTTGCAGTAGCAGTTCGGAGATGACGCAGAAGAAGGGTTCTTTCCTGAAACAGACGGCCCCGAGGAAGATGACGACGAACCCGGAAACCTCACGGCCAAATTGCCGACGAGGATCCGCACGAACGAGCACGGATCCATTGGACCTAGAGAATTTGCTTCTTTGTGAACTAAGCCAACACTGGAGCAAAGTTAATTGCAGAAGGTGAAGATATTGAGGAAGCGGAGAAGCTATAAAAATGGAAAGTCGAGAGAGGTGAAGAAACAGGCTGGAAAACAGCTGGGAATGAAGAAGCGATATTGCGATACAGATTTTGTGGGCTCAAAGTTTTTTTTTTCAAATTCTTTTTCCATTTTTTATTTTTTAAGTTTCTACCGGAGGGGATATTACTCTTTTTGCTCTTTTATTACCTTTTGGTGTCCAAATGAAACGTTTTCCTCATCTTTATTGGGAAAGTTTTAGAAATTTTTAAGGATAAATTACTGTCTATTATATAAAATAGATTTAAAATAATATATCAATTCGGTGAATTTACATTTAATGAGTATGAAATAATTTACAAATTGTTACAATGAAAATTAAATAAGATAAATGTAAATAACAAAAATTAATATAAAATAGTACTACGATATTTGTTTTGGGACGATTATTTTTGTTGTTTTGAGGTTTGTTGATGAGATTGTATCTGAGTTGTTTCGCAGAAATATATAATGGTGAAATAATATATATATATATATATATAAAACCGAGAAAATCATATATAAATACCTGAACTTTTACAAAATTCTCAAATAAATATCAAAACTATAAAACTTTCAAACTTTTCAAAATTTTTACAAAAATACCCAAACTTTTAAAAATCTTCCAAATGAACCAAAATCCGTTAACGCCGCTTAATATGTCAGAATATTAATTCTTCAATTTTTGATGGATTCTGTTATAAATTAAATGTCGTTAACGAATTTTTTTTGGGAGATTTTCAAAAGTTTGGGTATTTTTGTAGAAGTTTTGAAAATTTTAGATATTTATATTGGAGTTTTATAGTTCTAGTATTTGTCTGAGAATTTTACAAAAATTTAAGTATTTATATATGATTTATATATATATATATATATATATATATATATATTTATGTATGCAAACGGAAAATTAAGTAATTATTCTAATAGTTGTATATATGATATGATTAAGTTAATTCTATGTTCGACCATATCATGTAGAATTTGACCAAATGGCATTAATTGGATTAGTTATCTAGAAATCTCGTATAGAAAGGATGTTTAGAAATTAAAAAATAGAAAATAAGATTTTTTTAGATTTATTAGTTTTCATATATTTTTAATATAAACCGTGTAGGCTATTTATATATCTACATAGTTTTTTTTACAAATTATACCATAATAATAAAAAAAAAGGTTTGCAACATATGTGTTTTTGTTCACTTGGGTACATTAATTAATGGCATTTTATTCCGATAAATATATTACTCAACATCTTAAAAAATTGTTCCGGACAAAATCAACTATTTTATTTTCGATGAATTGGTAATTATCGTTATAGAAATCCCGACAAAATTCCTGGAAGTTACAAGAGCTGAATGACCAGAGTTTATGTTGGGGTAATTTTATAGAAATCCTCCCTCAATAGGAAAAATTATTGGAGTTGTGAACTCCATCTGGTCCTCCGATGGCCAACGTATCAGAGTAATATGTAGAAATTTGTGGAATGATATTTTTATTGATAACCAAAATAACATATAAATAGATGAGAGTGTTACATTGAATAAATAAAGTAGACATAATAATAAATATTTCTAAATGTATATTTTCCGGATTTAATAAGATCTTCAATATATGATATATCTCGTAATATTTTTCAAGATCCGGTATATCTCAACATCCCCCTTCATGTTGGAGCGTGGAAGATCACGAAACGCCCAACTTGCTGAAAAGATGATCAAACGCATGCCGCTTGAACCACATCACCTTGCGAACTTGTGTCAATAAAAGACATAACTAAAAAAAATTAAACAAACGACTGCACTGCAACTTTGGCACCACGCACAGAAAAATCGTTTGATGATAACAAAAAAAAGACGAAAATCGCGGTGCAAAAGGAAATCTCGGGAATAACTCTGATTCATCCGAGATTGAAAGGCAACTACGCGAAAGCATTTAATGACAACAAATTTTTTGGCAAGAATAAGATGATTGGCGAGTTGGTGTTTGGTCGCTTCGGGTCCCTAACATGCGATCATATCGATCTAGGGTTTGGTTTACTAGGTTTCATGCAGCGAAAGGATAATCTAAACCTAGTCAAACGTCACACGCAACCAAACTCACAAAAACCCGAAAGAACGTGTATATCACCGTTGGAATCGAATACTTACCTCTTTCCTGAAGATCTGAAAGTAGCAATCGATCTGGGACCTGTTTTAATCACCAAGAGCTGAAGGTATAACTCCTCTACATGTATCCACACCGACGGGAAGGATTCCAAATGCTTTTGGAAATGATCTGCTAGGATCTGTGAAGTGAATAGGGTTTCCAAGTCTTGGGATCGAATCCCAGGAACTAGAATCTCAAAAGAACGGTTTCTCTTGTGTTCTAGATCTGTCTAGGAGTTCAGAATAATTCTCTCTAGGTTGGGACGACGTCCCTTAGCCTTAGTAATTGAGTCTGAAACCCTAATCCTTGTGAAAGGAGAATTTTCGCCGAGATTTGACTCGGTCCGAGTCAAAACTTTGACTCGATCGAGTCAGAACGAATCAGTCCAGCCCATCACCTACTTTTGGCTCGATCCATTTAGAGTTGACTCGGTCTGAGTCAAGATTTGACTCGGTCCGAGTCAAAACATCAGCGAAGCCCAAAAATATTTTCTGGGCTTCGACTCGCATGTGCACCTAAATGGAACTGATTCGGCCCGAGTCAAATACTGACTCGGTCCGAGTCAGAATGCTGAGACCGTTTCTCGACACACTGATTTGATCCAAAACCGTTTGTTCGGCCAAATCCAAGTCTTCCTTTTCGATACTTCATATGTAAGTCCATCCCTAATGGTGTGTGACCCTGTAGGCCCATTCGCAGTGACAACAGTCTCGAGAACCATTCCCGATCTACAAGTCATGGTTAATCTCTAGCAAGACACTATGACTACCCACGTTGAATTGAGTTAGAGGTGATCTAACCAAGGCAGTAACAACTCAAATTCTGATCCTTTGTCTCACGATATCATATGTTGAACAAGGGCATGGTTTGAGCCACCCTTCAAGTTCAACCGCTTTCTCGTCTTGGCAAATCGACTAATAAAATAGATGCAACTTCATCTACAGCGTGGCCACGCGTTTTTCATAGTCCGACTTCCACGAGAGGGCCCAACGATATCTCTCCTGTTAAGGAGGTGACAAGTCCCATATTGCATGTCTACTATCTCCATATAATTCGTGAACGTATCTGATCAACGCCTTTATAATCATCCGGTTAAAGATGATGTTTGACGCAGTCAAGACACGCCACTCCTCATATCAGATACTCTAGATATCTCAGGTCTAAGGATCCAAGAACGAACCGCTGTATGAGATTCAAGTAATGACTCTGTCCATGTGACAATCTCATGCGGGTCATCTAGTCACTCGTTCCCAACGAGTACCCATGATTGTGACATGCATCCAATGCATTGATCACACCTCATGCTAGTCTTAATTCATCATTGTTCTCACAATGATAACTGACCAGGGAGTTTAGAATCATTTTCTAATGATTCAAGGATATCTACCGAAATATAACAAACATGTCAATCATATAACGGGAAAAGTAATGCATTCATAAACCAATGAATTAATACATAGTTAAAATGTCATATCACGGATCATCGTAGAGCATTACAACCAACAATCTCCCACTATGCTCTATGATCTATCCTACAAGCATCTAATCCCCATACCCATAACATGACCATCATGCTTTGACGAAGGGAGAGGCTTCGTCAACGGGTCGGCAATATTATCATCTGTCGACACTCTGCTTATCTTCACGTCTCCTCTGTCGATGATTTCTCTGATCAAGTGAAATCGCCTGAGTATGTGTTTGAATCTCTGGTGTGACCGGGGTTCCTTAGCTTGTGCGATCACACCATTGTTGTCACAGTATAACTCAATGGGGTCTGCAATGCTAGGAACAACTCCCAGGTCTCCCACGAACTTCCTGATCCAAACAGCTTCCTTAGCTGCATCTGATGCTGCTATATACTCGACTTCTTTAGTCGAATCTACAACGGTTGACTGTTTGGAACTCTTCCAACTAATAGCCCTACCGTTCAGACAGAGAACGTAACCTGACTGCGATCTGAAGTCATCTCTGTCGGTCTGGAAACTAGCATCGGTATAACCCCTTATAGCGAGCTCGTCTTCCAATCCACCATACACCAAGAACAAATCCTTAGTCAAGTACTTAAGGATGTTATTGACCGCAATCTAGTAAGCCTCACCTGGTGTAGACTGATATCTACTAGTCATACTCAATGCATATGATACATCCGGCGAGTACATAACATGGCGTACATGATGGATCCAATTGCCGAGGCATATGGAATCCTACTCATGCGCTCTTGCTCATCCTGTGTCCTTGGACACTGAGTCTTGCTAAGAGCCACATCATGTCCCATTGGCAAGGCACCCCCTCTTGGAGTCTTGCATCTTGAACCGATTCAAAGCCTTGTCAATGTATGTACTCTGACTTAGACCAAGAAGCCTTCTCGATCTATCTCTATAGATCTTGATGCCTAGAATGTAGGCGGCTTCTCCTAAGTCTTTAATCGAAAAGACCGATCCTAGCCAGGATTTTACTCCTTGCAAGGTAGGAATGTCATTTCCGATGAGCAATATATCAAAAGACTGATCCTAGCCAGGATTTTACTCCTTGCAAAGTAGGAACGTCATTTCTGATGAGCAATATATCATCCACATAAAGTACAAGGAAGACCACTGCGCTCCCATTGACCTTCTTGTAAACGCATGGTTCATCTTCGTTTTGCAGGAAACCAAACGTTTTGACTGCCTCGTCAAATCGAAGATTCCAGCTCCTCGAAGCCTGCTTCAGTCCATAAATAGATCTCTGAAGCTTGCATACCTTCCCCAGACTCTTAGGATCGACAAAACCCTTGGGTTATGTCATAACACATCCTCGAGCAAATTCCCGTTAAGGAATGCAGTCTTGACGTCCATCTACCATATCTCGTAGTCATAATATGCAGCTATGGCCAGCAGAATCTGTATGGATTTAAGCATCACAACCAG